GGCCTTTTTTTCATAATTTATTTGTTTAATTTTTTTGGCTAGTAGAAGTTATGAATGGCCGGTAGCTTAAAAATTTAGTAGCCAAATTGTCTGGTGAGTGCAAAAGTTAATTTCAAACCCTGTATATATATATATATATATATATATATATACACACCAGGGGGTGAATATTTTCTTTTCTTTTTTTTTTTAAGAAACTGTACGTCTAACTGACCTTATCTTCAGGAGATTTAAACTGAGTGACACACTAATGCCTTCTGGGTAATGACAACTCTCTGTCAGTCATTTAGTCAGTCAATTACAAACACTGACATGGAGAGATGTGATCTTCTATTCTCTTTCTCTCTAATTCTCATTTAATCCCTTTCTTCCTTTCTCAATGGGCTCCTTCAGGCTCCTTAAACTTCCTTGGCTGCTGTCCTGGGAAATGACATCACTACATGTCTCATCTTTTCTGCCGTGTCAGGTTTCTCCTGTGCTTTAAGCATCTTACTGCTTTAATTGGGCGCTCTGCATCACTTCTCTCAAACGATTGAAGTTCACAGCTGAGGGACTTACAACAATGTGGTGAATGCCGTAATACATGAGGATGTCTGCCAGGGTGAAGACGTTCCCAGCCAGGTAAACTTTGTCCTCAAGGTACTGGTTAAGATCCTGCAAGGGAAGTATAAAAGGACGTCACTCTGGGTCTGCTGTGCTGCCAAAAATGGGAATTTTGGAGGGTTAATGGGACTTCTAAAAAGCCATGCATAAGAATAAAGGAATAAAACTTCAGATGCATTTAACATTAACAGATTCAAAGCTTGCTTTAAACAAAACACATTATATGGTACATTGACAATGAAATTGTTTCACGAATAGTTTAGCAAGATCACCAACATATAAAAGCACTGTTACTGTTAGAACACTGTTGTTCCATTTACTGCAGTTTAAGAGATCACAGCTACTGGCAGTTTAACAGGGCTCCAGACTGAGAATAGAATGAGCACATACTACACTTTGCAGACTTTTTAAGTCGAATTTGCACCAATTTACAATTTAATCACCACTGGTTCGTTTGCATCAGTATGTGAATTATCAAAACCACCACAATGAGACGTTTGTTAATTGCATATTTAAACTGCATGCTAGTGTTTCTTTCACTGCTATATGGCATCTTTGTTTGCTTTGCTCACCATATGCAAAAAACACACAAAGTAACCCGTAATAAAGTAAATCAGTCTTAAACTCCATGTACTGCAAGTTATTTTCCCATTTATGTCTTATGTGAAATTAACCCGAGAACCTGAGAAGTGACCTTTCGTTTTTGAGACTTACATCAGTCTTATTAATGTCGAATTGTTCATATGACATAAATAATAAATGGTATTCCAAACCCATTAATGTTTTTAAAAAAAGTCTCGTATGCTAATCAAGCCCACATTTATTTGATCAAAATATACAGTAAAAACATCAACATTGCGAAATATTATTACAATTTAAAACAACTGTTTTTTTCAATCTTAATATATTTTAAAATGTAATTTATTTCTGTAATGGCCAAGCTGAATTTTCAGCAGCCATTACTCAGTGTGTCACATGATCCTTCAGAAATCACTGTAATATGCAGATTTGGTGCTCGAGAAAAATTCTATAATCAATGTTGAAAAGATTCACGATTATTTTATTAATGTGAAATAAAAGTCTTTTGTAATTATACATGTCTTTATTGATCACTTTTGATCAATTTAATCCATCCCTGCTGGATAAAGTAATAATTTCTTTAAAACATAAAATTTACAGACCTCTAACTTTTGAACGGTAGTGTATATATTAAATATTGGTGTATTTTTTCATTGCTGTTGCCACCATTTGATAAAAACAATAAGGCCTAGTGCAATAAGGTCCATTTTACGTTGTGCTTAAAGGGATAGTTCACCCAAAAAAAAACAAAAAAAAAAAACAATGTCTGTGTCAGCTGCGTCACGCCGGATCTATTTCCTACGTTGTTGTGATTTGATCTGAACGGAAACAGCATAACGTTATCCGTGTGGCGCAGCTGACACAGAACAGCATACGTTGTTTTATGTCCAGCGGATATTCTCCAAAATGGCACCAGGGTGATGCGGAGGAAACGAATTGTTGAATAAAGTTGTTATTTATGGGTGAACTAACCCTTTAAGAACACCCACTTTCTGTGGTAAAATCACTGCTTGTTGCTTTCTTGATCACCTTAATTCATCCAATCTGCTTTTACAGCTGAAACTATCTGTATTATGAAAGGCCTCTTGAGAATGAAAGACCTAAAGCTTGGAGGTATTCAAATACTTCAGTGACTGTAAAATTAACAGTACCACTATTTCAGGGACCAATTAGTTGCTTATTCATATTGCTGTAGTACTTAAAATAGACCTTAAAATAAAGTGTGACCAAATGAATTGTAATATATTGTAGTATTATTGGTTATCTGATTGATGGAGTGCAGGCATAGTACAAGTGTGTGTGCTTGTCTGAGTGTGTGTAAAGAGTGTCTCATCTGAACACTGTTCACTGCCTCCATTAGCCCTCAAGACAATGTGCTGTATTGTGCACAAGTGCTGAAGATGCTCTTGTCCCCTGAGACCTGTACAGACACACACACACACAGGTTTGTTTTTGTCACACACACACACACACACACACACACACCACCCCTGCTATAATATTTAGGCTTTAGAAAGTTTTACATGAAATTCACTCTTGCTTTGTTCAAGGAAGAGTTACTGGACAGCCTACAGACACATCTGTGTTATGCTGGACCATGTAGAATTATGAGATGTTGGTCAGGGGGGGTTATATATTCTGTCTGAAATGAAGCTCAACATTGTGCACAGTTCTGCACTGTACCAAGTGATATGATTTTATTACAACTACTATATACCATCAAGAATGAGAAACATTTTTTCTACATTTGGTTGGAAAGGGATAGTTCACCCAAAAATGAAGATTGTCATCATTTACTAACCTTCAAGTCATTCCAAACCCATAGAACTTGCCTTCATCTTTAAACCATAAATGAAGATATTTTTAATGAAAAGCAAGTACAGTTGAAATCTGTTCATCATTTAAATCAATCATGTCTCTTCAGAGGGCTTGGGTTAAACCACTCAATCAATTCATATGGATTATTTGAAGTACATTTTTTTGGTTGGTAGACAAAAATCTCTCCGGTTACAGGTCTCAGGATTTTTTATTTGTTTCAAAAACAAACAAAAGTCTTATGGGTTTTGAACAACATGAGGGTGAGTAAATGATGACAATTTTCATTTTTGTGTGAACTACAGTATCTGCACAGACCGGACCACCCTTCCTCCAGACTCTAGGACCTTGGTTTCCAAATGAAATACAAAACTTGCTCTCATCTTAAAAGAGGACTTTGGACCACTGGGCAACAGTCCAGTTCTTCTTCTCCTTAGCCCAGGTAAGACGCCTCTGATGTTGTCTGTGGTTCAGGAGTGGCTTAACAAGAGGAATACGACAACTGTAGCCAAATTCCTTGACACATCTGTGTGTGGTGGCTCTTGATGCCTTGACCCCAGCCTCAGTCCATTCCTTGTGAAGTTCACTCAAATTCTTGAATCGATTTTGCTTGACAATCCTCATAAGGCTGCGGTTCTATCGGTTGGTTGTGCATCTTTTTCTTCAACACTTTTTCCTTCCACTCAACTTTCTGATAACATGCTTGGATACAGCACTCTGTAAACAGCCAGCTTCTTTGGCAATGAATGTTTGTGGCTTACCCTCCTTGTGAAAGGTGTCAATGATTGTCTTCTGGACAACTATCAGATCAGCAGTCTTCCCCATGATTGTGTAGCCTAGTGAACCAAACTGAGAGACCATTTTGAAGGCTCAGGAAACCTTTGCAGGTGTTTTGAGTTGATTAGCTGATTGGCATGTCAACATATTCTAATTTGTTGAGATAGTGAATTGGTGGGTTTTTGTTAAATGTGAGCCAAAATCATCACAATTAAAAGAACCAAAGACATAAACTACTTCAGTCTGTGTGCATTGAATTTATTTAATACACGAGGTTCACAATTTGAGTTGAATTACTGAAATAAATGAACTTTTCCACAACATTCTAATTTATTGAGATGCACCTGTATTCCTGTCAGCTGCAGGACTCCTGTTTCTCCTGCTTTAAATGTTGTGATCCTGCCTTACAAAGTGCAGTGAGTTGGTCAGACAGTGCGTGCCATGGGCGTTACATCAGCCCTTCATTACTGTTTAAACTGCCACTATTAACCAGCGATCAGCAGCACTCTGCTCAAGACCCATGCTCGGACAGCCCTATGCCACACACTGACAGCTACTGCCGAGAGGCGTCCGTCCTGCTGAGAGCCTGTGTTAACGAGACTGCCTCTCACTGTCCACAGACAGACGTTTTCTACCTTTAATCCCATCTGAACTGATCTCAGGACAGTGTGTGACCCCTGTTACCCTCAGCATGTCAATTAAAGCCCATGACAGACTGCGGTGTGGATGATTCAGATCCAAACCTCCAATGCTATTATTAAGAACCCCCTGTGACTACATAGGTGCTGAGTTTGGAGTGGCATTCTTTTTGGACACTCAATTGATTCAATGAGAGGATGTCATGTCAATGTTTTCAATCTGTTTTAGCTGCGAGTCTTCATATATGACGTGGGTAAATGTATAATAATGGCAATCTATTCCGGATTCTGGACACTTACAGGAATCAACAGAGCAAAAAATTAAAAGGGAAAAGACAGGAAATTGAGAATTAGTCATATTATCGATATATCTTTGCTGATGAAATAAAATTAGGTAATATCATGTAAAAAATAAAAAAAAGTTGGTCTTATAAAGACATGATGTTCAATGACAAGTGAATTTCACTCACGTCTCACTAGTATGACAGCTAAATAGGCTCTGATTTCAAACTCTCCAAAGTGTGTGAGTGAGTGCTCTGTAAAGACCAACAAAGGTTTCTATTTACAATGTTTTTAACAATGTTCAGCATCATAGCCAATCGAGCACTGAACAAAGTGACCAATCAGTGGTGTTTAAGACAGTCAGTGGCACATCTACTGAATACTAGGCTTGCTGCGTTATACCGGTGTTAAGCCGCAACACCGGTTACGTCATTTGCCTACCACAACACCGCCCCCCACCGTCGTTTTGATTTTTTTTTTTTATAGAAACAAAAATAATTTAGCCTAGTTCAGTTAGAGGACAGTCACTTTAAAAAACTAAACGTTCAACGTAGCGTGCCGAACCGTGCACGAACGACAGTGCACCACGGAGTAGGAGTCAGATTTTATTTATCACGTGAGGAGAGTGAGTCGAGCTGACTGACAAGAGTGAGGTGAGAAAGACAAGACGATGGCAGAAGATCGTTTAGAAAGGAAATGCAAAGGGGCCTGTTTGGTAATATTTTAGATTTTGAAAAGCCTATTGACTGGAAGATTTTTTAAACATTCGTTTCTTATTTATTTGGTTCCACAGTGTTTGCTGATTTTCAGTTTTATATACCTATTTAAATTTTGTGTAGCCCAAGTAAGTTGTTATTTTATTATGCATATATGGTGTATTTTTTTCGTTTTGTTAATAAAGTTATGAGTTTGACGTTGTTGCTTGAATTGAATCAACGCGGAATTGCCGCTAATTTGAAAGTGAAAGTAAAACGCACACGGCACTTTTTCAAGCTATTTGAAAGCCAAGTAATCCGAGGAAAAGAGGGAAAACTCAAACGAACAATTGCTTGACGCCGAATTGCGGAAATTCAATTGCCGCTAATTCGAAAGTGAAAGTAAAATGCGCTCAGAACTTTTACAAGCCATTTGAAAGCGAAGAAAAGAGGGAAATTCAAACAAACTAACACCCCCCTCCCACCCCAACGGTGATACCGGTATTACCGGTGTTGTCACACGTCGATTAACCGGTGGGGAAATTTCCTCACCGTCACAACCCTACTGAATACCACTCAAAATTAGGGTTGGGTATCGTTTGGGTTTTTTTCAATACCGGTGCCATATCGATACTTTTAAAACGGTTCCGGTGCCTAAACGGTGCCTGAACCGATACTTATAAAAAAATAAAATAAATAAAAATTCCCCCCAAAAATGATGGATTGGCCATTAGAATAGAAATAGAATAGAGAGTGCAAATGTTAGAGGGTCAAGTTTTTTAATAAAAAA